GTTTTGTAACCACTTTTCTCCTGCCCCTCAATGAGCGATAGAGGGAGATCACAGGAGGCTAATTTCCTGTGTAGTTCCCATAAATGTATCTTGGGCTCCCACTGCCATAGTTTTCTGCAAACTGGATTCTCACAGTTTAGGCTCTGATACTATTCCTTCCTTCGACTTTAGATTATATGATTTATAATCCTTTGGTGACGGATGGTGGTGTGCTTCTTCCATGTGGACTTAGTTGACATCTCATTTAGATGGCTGCTTATTTGGAGACAAGCCTTTAAGACCCCAGACGCTATTTTATCTGATAGCTGAGCACCATCTTCACAGCATGACTTTTATGTTATATCACAACTTATTCTTCTAAGAAAGATGAGGTGTGCAGCTGTGTACCCAGACATGTCAGAGAAACCAATCCAGGGACACTATTTGCTTCTGTCGGCCATGTTTCAATCCACAGTTTCAAAGCAGTAAGTCCCTCCCTCTCCTGAGGATGATGGAGTCATTGTTCTGTTGCTCCATGACTTCAACTCTCAGTTGTGGACTGGAGAGAGAACACTTTCCGTTGGAGAAGTCTTTCCTGAGAACATTTTTGTGCATTTCTGTTTCTGTACTTTGATTCCCATTTAACAATAACCCAAACCTGAGGTAATCTTTAATAGTCAATCCCCCCAAATCCCCTGAAGTTTTCTTTAACCCAAACTACAATTTAGTTTATCTAATACATGTGTCTTGACACCTGTGCTTTTGAAAGAATTATCTATACAGGTTTAAATAGATAACAGTAACTCAAAAGGGTAGATGGGAAATTTATGAGGCAGAGAGTTTATGTTAATGGTGAAGAAAAAATTCAGAAAAGGAAGTTGAAAATGCTTGCATAGCATGAAGAATGTCATCAATATCACTGGATTGTGCATGTAAGAAGCTTGAATTACTGTATTGTCTGCTACCTCTACACTGAACAATAGCAAAGAGTAAAATAAAGTAAAACAAAATAATCCAAGCCTATTACAACTGTGAGCACTGTGCTACCACAGCCCACAAAACCTCCCTTATCTGACTTTTTCATGGGAAGTCGTCAGTGTTTACACGCTTGACCAAATGGCTGATGTGACTATGAGCCCTGAATACAGAGCCAAGGTCCCTGAGATCCTGACCTCTTAGTGAAGCTCTGTCATTTTGATGTAAGTAGGATGGCCAGGCCACCTGTCCCGTGCCTCTGACAGGTTCCCTCCTTGCCGGGGCTTTCTCTTTAAAAGCTGGCTCGCTATGTTCTCCTTGCAGAGCTCGTCTGATGGAGAGTCCATCCGGACCATCCTACGAGTCCTTGGTGATCTGCTTTCTGTCGGTGAGTAGGCCCCGCCTTTGTCCCCTCATAGGGTGGGTGTTCCGACGTGCCTGCCCTGAGCTCTCAGAGGACCCCAGGGCACCTGAGTGGTTGATCTAGCTTAGTAACCTTGCAAGAATCTTCAGGCTGGTTTCTTTTTCTCCCTGAGGTTAAGAAGACCTGGAGTAACCTGAGCTGATTCTATTCTGTTCTCCTGCATCTTACTGTCTTATCACCCACCCTATAGTACAGAGTGTACATCCTATAGTATCTCATCCGTGGGGCTTGTGCTTGTCTCTTCAGAGAGATCTAACACTCAGTGTGGCTCTTCCCCTGTTTTTCTTTGACCCTCTCCCTGCTGGCTCATTTAGAGGGTCACATAGGAGCCACTCCACTACATATGCCTACTAGAAATATGAAAAAGGCATATCTGAAAGGCCAGGTAGATGTGGAAGTATGACAGCCATGGAAATCTGGTCTTCCAAGGTCAGATGAAAAAGCTGCCTGCAACGACATCAACTTAGTTAAGTGGAGTGTGACGCCACTAACTAAAGTTATCTCGAACATGTAGATTCATGGACATTCCAACCTTTACTCAGTTCTCATGTCTACATGTACTAGTCACGGAACACCAGAAAGGAAAATAACACGAGGTGCCAATGACACTCTAAAGCCACAGAACCTCAAGATAATCGTTTCAAAAGGAAGGCACTGCTCTGAAGTCTATTTAGCCTCCCAGTGACCCCACAGGACAGAGGAGAACTGCTCCAGAGGGTTTCCAAGGGCTGCGGGATGGCCACGGTTGTACATATTTGTGGAAGCACACTGTCACATCTTTCTCACACAGAGCTGT